AGTACAGAAAATAGACGTCGAAATTGTACCCCTCAAGGTGAAAAAGATTCATCATGAACCGGGACAATTACGGTGTTTGTATGGAAGCATGATATCTCGGTTACCAAGAGGCAACAGTTTACATGTATATTGCGACGGGTCGGTGGCGGAGGATGGCAGGGCAGGGTGTGGTGTCCTAATAAGGGATTATACGGAGTTTGGGACTGTGGACAGGATAATTGAACTCCGGCTTAGTAATTATATATCATCCACACAAGCTGAACTGCAGGCCATTCTGGCGTGTTTGGAGGAAGTACGTCATGACGACAAAAATGTTTTTGTATTTGTCGATAGCCGAGGAGCACTGGAGTCCTTAAACAGTAGAAACCCAGTCTTCATGTCTATAGTGGAGGACTGTAAGAGAAGAATAACTGAGATACAGCTGAAAGGTTATAGTGTGAAATTCATGTGGATTCCATCTCATGTTGGAATAGTGCTCAACGAGGTGGTGGATGACTTGGCCAAACGTGCCACATCAAAACCACAAGTTGACATTGAATGTGAATTCACAATGAGACAAATAAGAAGCAAAATCAGAAATATTCAGGCACAGGCGGGAGTGGAGAGGAGAGAGATAATGTATGAGAGTAGTCAAACCATGCAACACTACATGTATGTGAGTCAAAACACCCATTTCACTTATGGTAAAAGGAGAAATGCTTGGAGTGACTCTGTGTACATGCGGCTCAGGCTTGGGTACAAATATTACTGGGAATATGGGATAGATGTTCATGGTAATGACACGAAGTGTAAACTATGTGGTATGTTAAGGTCTCACACCCTTGCCCATTATATTCTTGATTGTCCGTTGATTAGTGTATATAGAAACACTGAGATAAGGACTGTTCCTGAACAAATAGCCTGGATGTGTCACAACGGAAAGGTTGATGATATTCTTGAGAAATATAAGAATTTTGCACCAAGATTGTAATATTTTGTTGAATTATCTGCAGGTGTCTTGCAAATTGTCTATACAGTATACCTAAGTCATAAAAGTATTTGTGTGTACGTCTGATACCATACTCCTTGTGAGGGAGGAAATGTATATTTTTACCTCTCAGAATGTTTGGTAATATGTTTATTTGTGATGTGTGTCTATGTATATATTAACACGTTGTACTGAACGGGGTGAGAATAGCTTGAGCTACCTCATCCCTTTGTGTGTATTTTACCTCAATAAACTTATTTCAATTTCAATTTCAATTCAATCCAGCCTGTAGCCGGCAGGTTCCAATCAGCTCCGCTGCGTAGGCCACTCCACGACCGCTACTAGGGTTGCGAGCCCTAGGCAGGAGCCTCGTGTGATTCCGCTGATCACTCTCCTCTCTCAACACCCCAGTGGCGAGTCTTCTCCACCAGCCAGCCCCGGGTACGACGATTCCTGGTACTGCCACGTCACAGGCAGGCTAACACTCAACAGTGTTCGTCCGGGGGGGTGACTCACAGCTTCTACAGCAAACACATGGAGATACTATGGCTGCCTTGGGTAGACTGCCCCATCGTCCAATACAGCAGTTCCAGGTCGACTCTGTAATCAGACACGTCATCAGTACTAGTTACACTCTAGGGCACCTCACTTACCGGCTTAGACACAAACGTCCACCTATCCACTCCATAGATTGCGTTGCTGTCTAAGCGCCACCTCACCAGAGGTCAGCAGCGGCTACGTTACTAGCTGATCAAGACGGGAAACCAGCCCCTGTGGCCGGTATATTCTGTCCTCACTAGATGGCGCCGTCCATTTGGAGGGGGTTTCGGGAGCCGACTCACAGATGGCGTGGTCGTCACAGCTCCGTGCTCGGACGCTGGACTCGGGTCCGTAACAGTTGCACACAAAGATCATAGTTTTCAAGTTTCCAACTTATTTGGATCCTGACTGTCTTCTTCTTAACAATGATAATGTTGTCTGGGCAAAGAGGAACAGTGTTCGTGGTGACAAACAAAGCCAGGTTGTTGCCTTGGTAAAGGGTGAGGCGCCGGAGAAAATTTTTGTGCATGGACTAGGCTATAGGAACGTTGCAAAATACATTGAGGAGACCATACTGTGCATGAAGTGTTCACGTTGGGGACATATGGCATGGAAATGCCAGTTTGACCCCAGGTGTCGGTATTGTGGGAAGAAACACGACTCGCGAGAGTGTAGAGTCAAGATTGAAAAGGGAAAAAATCGTCCCATTTTGTTGCAACTGTCGAGGCAGCCACAATGCTGGTTCCTATCTATGCCCCATGAAGCCTCATCTGAAAGAGACTAGGACGGGTCCTACAAGCAGGATAGATGTATCCTTGCAGCAAGGAAAGATTGTGTAAGAGGAACATGGAGGAAACAGCTGGAAGCCAACGACAGCCCCTATGATCAATGTGTGGGAGAAAGGGACGGAGAAAATAAAGGCGAGTCTAGGGAAAGTACATCATGCAGTGGAAAAAACTGAAACCTTGTGAGGACAAGGTTCAGGACAATATGGTCACCTCTGAGGTTGGTAATCAAATTTTTGGAGTATCTAAAAAAAACTAGATAAGAGGATTGAGGCATTGGAAAAATTGGCTATGAAGGGTAGACGGGGTGAAGATGGTGGTGAAACAGGACGTGTAATTGAAAGTAAAACAGGACGTGAAATGGAAAGTGAAACGTGCGTAGAAGAAAGTAATGATGCGTATGACGTGCGCATCATATTATGCTCTCCAATATGTTTCTGTGTATAATTCAATTTCTCCCACCCTACCCATCAACATTGGTGTTTCCTAGGGGAGCATACTTGGCCCTCTCCTCTTTCTCATCTACATTAATGACCTCCCAAATGCCTCCCAACATCTCAAACCAATTCTATCTGACCTCCCTTGCTCTAAATGTCACAGTGAATACTGAGCTAAATAAAGTTCATCACTGGCTAACTGCCAACAAACTCACCCTCAATATTGACAAAACTTTCTATATTTTGTTTGGCAATAAATCCTCAAATCAAATAAATCTCAGGATTAACAATACCCAAATTTGTAACAAAGTAGATGGCATAGATTAGTTTTTCAAATATTTTTGACAAGTTTGGCAAAATTGATATAGGTCTGAAGATGTTAACATTAGTGAGATCACATTTGTGGACAGGGGTTACTCTCGCTTTTTTTAGAATATCTGGAAAAATTTGGAGTTCAAGTGACTTGTTGAAGAGCAATGCAATGGCAAGAGCTAAAACTCTGGAGGCTCCTTTCACAAAAGGAAGTGATAGCCGAATTTGTCCGGTTGCGATGGTCGAGCGGATTAAGGCGTCCTATAGTTACCAGTTGCGTTGCTTCTGGGAGTATGGGTTCGAGTCACTTCTGGGGTGTGAGTTTTCAGTCGCATATAGTCCTGGGGACCATTCAGGCTTGTTCACATTTGTGTTCCTCACGTGTGCCCCAAAGAATGAGGTGATTTGATAAAATGCTATGTCCAAGATTACCACCCGAGTGCCGGCGAGGAAGTGGTTCAAATAGCTTCGGCTATCACTTCCTTTTGTCCGGTCGTGATGGTCAAGTGGATTAAGGCGTCCTGTAGTTACCAGTTGCATTGCTTCTGGGAGTATGGGTTCGAGTCACTTCTGGGGTGTGAGTTTTCAGTTGCATATAGTCCTGGGGACCATTCAGGCTTGTTCGCATTTGTGTTCCTCACGTGTGCCCCAAAGAATGAGGTGATTTGATAAAATGCTATGCCCAAGATTACCATCCGAGTGCCGGCGGGGAAGTGTTTCAAATAGCTTCGGCTATCACTTCCTTTTGTCCGGTCGTGATGGTCAAGCGGATTAAGGCGTCCTGTAGTTACCAGTTGCGTTGCTTCTGGGAGTATGGATTCGAGTCACTTCTGGGGTGAGTTTTCAGTCTCTCATATATATATATATATATATATATATATATATATATATATATATATATATATATATATATATATATATATATATATATATATATATATATATATATATATATAAGTCGGGAGGGAGAGAGGTATGTCTTCAACAATCCACCCCAACCACACCAGCCAATGGTAACAGATCAGACGTTCATGTTCATCAAATCATTCACATTTACTAGAGAAAACGCGTTCATTAGCAAACTGGTTATGCCAAGGTGTGTAATGCACCTGGCTTTATTATATATGTAATAAAGTACCTATGTACTGCCTATAGTACCTATTTATCGCTTGGTGAATAGAGACATTAGGTGATACGAAATGTGCCCAACCATTGCTGTGCCGCCCAGGATTCGAACCCTGGATAATCAGTTGTGAGCCGAGAACGAGCCCAACTATACTACCAAGACCCTATATTTTTGGGGCGTATAATATAAAGTAAGCATATACGCTTCTGGCGGCAGAACTTCAACAAATACGCAGATCATGATTGACAGCGCTTGCAGTAGCCTACAGTTATATTAATTCTAAGCAGCGTAAATTAATATTCCTGGTAGATCCAGTTCGATGTGATGCCGTCGTCTCCCCCATCATTGGTAATCATGCTGCGACTCCCCGACAATGGCAATCACCTCCGCCCATCTCCCAAACAAATCCAGCCCGCTGCCCCCTCCCAGCGGGGGGACGCCGCCCCCTCACATTAGGGAGAGTAGCTGCCCCCTCCCAATGGGGGTCGCCTCCCCATCCCCTTTTTTTTTTGGGGGGGGGGTTGCTGCTCACTGCCAGTGGTGGGTCGCCGCCCCCCTCACATTGGGGGGGTCGCTGTCCAATCCCAGCTGGGGGGGTCGCCGCCCCTCCTAGCGGGGGATCGCCGCCCCCTCCAATGTGACGCACACCTCTTTTCAATTTACTTCGCTTGATATAATTATGTATCGTTCTGAGCTGTAAACACTACTGCTATTATTACTGGATATTTTGTACATTGGTGAGGGCGTGTGTTTATGGTAGTGGTGGGAGGTATGGGAGCCATGGGGCTGAAACACTGCCACTCACGCCAACCATCACCTTACAACCATCACTTACACTTGTTATAAAGATGGTTGGCACCTGCACCTCCAACAAGCCCGCGCACACTCTCACCGTTTTATCCTGGAATTTTCCAGATAAAATTAAAATGATAATTAGTAAGTAATATAATTATATCAGGAAATAAATGCGATATGTATTGGGTGGGATGAGTATGGTTAAAGAGAGGTAAATACTGACACAAACGCCACATGCCTTTGGTAGAACCAAGAATGACCAACATCTTCCCAAAGACTCTCGCCTCTATGGCTGAAGGCTATAGAGATAAAAGTCAAATGTAGCTTCTACCCTTACGCAGCGCTCCACCCCTAAGGCTTTCCCCATCGATTTTTAGAGAAGCGGCGAGGAGCGGCGTGTCGCAGCCGAGGATCACTGTGTGACTGGGTATCGTGGCGGACATATCGCCGTCCCTGGCCGCCCCAGCACCACCCTCCTGCTCCTGCTGCTCCTGCTGCTGGTCCTGCTCCTCCACGCCGCCGCCGCCGCCGCCATAATACTCTCAGCCTCAACATGTCCCAGAACACACAGCAAGTGTCCTCCTCAGACGCTGTTAAGATGGTTGTCAAGTCCAACCAGGCTACCAGCGGAAATGTTCATCACATTGCCACCATTGGTATGTAGTGTTGAATAGTTCATATGTGAAATAATGATTGAGAAGGTATGTAATTGTGTGTTTTTGTGTGTGATGGCGGGAAGGTCGTCCGGGCGAGGCTAGGCGCTGCTGCCACATCCTTCACACTCTTACTTCCTTATTATACTCCACTACACTCTCCACTTGTACCCACTTCTCCACCTACAACCTCTAACAAGTTTACTCTAGTCACATCATGCTTTTAGTTGTAAAGTAATGACGTAAGACATATTGATTGGCTAATATTTAATGTGGCATTGTTTGAGGTATATTTCCTTCATTGTTTGAGGAGTGAGTGTGTGGTGGTGGGCGGAGGCGTGTGTATAGTGCAGTGTGTGGTGGTGGGTCATGTTAGTGTAGTGTGGTGAGTGTGAGAGTAGTGAGAGTAGTGTGGTGGGCCCCGTGGTGGTGACGTCACGGGCGGCGGCGGCGGGTAGAGGCCGCCGCCGCCGCCACGCGCACATCCGCCGCCGCAGCCGCCGCCAGTCTTCCCCAGCCTCCCCCTCCCCCCCTCCTCTCCTGCCGCAGCCGCAGCCGCCGCCTCTCATGTCTAGTGTGATGAAGATGAGTGTGGTGCCGCAGACCAGCGTCCAGTACAGCTACCAGGGTGAGGCTCCCTCATTGTTGTGGTGTGAGGCTGGGCCAGGGGGCTCCAGGCTCCCTCATTGTTGTGGTGTGAGGCTGGGCTAGGGGCTCCAGGCTCCCTCATTGTTGTGGTGTGAGGCTGGGCCAGGGGGCTCCAGGCTCCCTCATTGTTGTGGTGTGAGGCTGGGCCAGGGGCTCCAGGCCCCCTCATTGTTGTGGTGTGAGGCTGGGCCAGGGGCTCCAGGCCCCCTCATTGTTGTGGTGTGAGGCTGGGCCAGGGGCTCCAGGCCCCCTCATTGTTGTGGTGTGAGGCTGGGCCAGGGGGCTCCAGGCTCCCTCATTGTTGTGGTGTGAGGCTGGGCTAGGGGCTCCAGGCTCCCTCATTGTTGTGGTGTGAGGCTGGGCCAGGGGGCTCCAGGCTCCCTCATTGTTGTGGTGTGAGGCTGGGCCAGGGGCGCCAGGCTCCCTCATTGTTGTGGTGTGAGGCTGGGCCAGGGGCGCCAGGCTCCCTCATTGTTGTGGTGTGAGGCTGGGCCAGGGGCTCCAGGCCCCCTCATTGTTGTGGTGTGAGGCTGGGCCAGGGTGAGGCTCCCTCATTGTTGTGGTGTGAGGCTGGGCCAGGGGGCTCCAGGCTCCCTCATTGTTGTGGTGTGAGGCTGGGCTAGGGGCTCCAGGCTCCCTCATTGTTGTGGTGTGAGGCTGGGCCAGGGGGCTCCAGGCTCCCTCATTGTTGTGGTGTGAGGCTGGGCCAGGGGCTCCAGGCTCCCTCATTGTTGTGGTGTGAGGCTGGGCCAGGGGTGCCAGGCTCCCTCATTGTTGTGGTGTGAGGCTGGGCCAGGGGCTCCAGGCCCCCTCATTGTTGTGGTGTGAGGCTGGGCCAGGGTGAGGCTCCCTCATTGTTGTGGTGTGAGGCTGGGCCAGGGGCTCTAGGCTCCCTCATTGTTGTGGTGTGAGGCTGGGCCAGGGGCTCCAGGCTCCCTCATTGTTGTGGTGTGAGGCTGGGCCAGGGGCTCCAGGCTCCCTCATTGTTGTGGTGTGAGGCTGGGCCAGGGGCTCCAGGCTCCCTCATTGTTGTGGTGTGAGGCTGGGCCAGGGGCTCCAGGCTCCCTCATTGTTTTGGTGTGAGGCTGGGCCAGGGGGCTCCAGGCTCCCTCATTGTTGTGGTGTGAGGCTGGGCCAGGGTTAGGCTCCCTCATTGTTGTGGTGTGAGGCTGGGCCAGGGGGCTCTAGGCTCCCTTATTGTTGTGGTGTGAGGCTGGGCCAGGGGCTCCAGGCTCCCTCATTGTTGTGGTGTGAGGCTGGGCCAGGGGGCTCCAGGCTCCCTCATTGTTTTGGTGTGAGGCTGGGCCAGGGGGCTCCAGGCTCCCTCATTGTTGTGTGAGGCTGGGCCAGGGGCTCCAGGCTCCCTCATTGTTGTGGTGTGAGGCTTGGCCAGGGGCTCCAGGCTCCCTCATTGTTGTGGTGTGAGGCTGGGCCAGGGGCTCCAGGCCCCCTCATTGTTGTGGTGTGAGGCTGGGCCAGGGGCTCCAGGCTCCCTCATTGTTGTGGTGTGAGGCTGGGCCAGGGGCTCTAGGCCCCCTCATTGTTGTGGTGTGAGGCTGGGCCAGAGGCTCTAGGCTCCCTCATTGTTGTGGTGTGAGGCTCCCTCATTGTTGTGGTGTGAGGCTGGGCCAGGGTTAGGCTCCCTCATTGTTGTGGTGTGAGGCTCCCTCATTGTTGTGGTGTGAGGCTGGGCCAGGGGCTCCAGGCTCCCTCATTGTTGTGGTGTGAGGCTGGGCCAGGGGCTCCAGGCCCCCTCATTGTTGTGGTGTGAGGCTGGGCCAGGGGCTCCAGGCCCCCTCATTGTTGTGGTGTGAGGCTGGGCCAGGGGCTCCAGGCCCCCTCATTGTTGTGGTGTGAGGCTGGGCCAGGGGCTCCAGGCTCCCTCATTGTTGTGGTGTGAGGCTGGGCCAGTGGCTCCAATAATACTGGATACTACAGTAATACTAATAGTAATACTGCAGTACTGCAAGGTACATCATTTCTACATGCCCTAACATGTAGACATGTTGTACTGTACTTAAACTGACAACAGGTAAACCATAGATTTACTGGAGATAATATTTCATAATTAAATCCTTGTATATATTACTGTTGTTAACAGTTCTCCATGAATGTTTTTCCATAGAGTATTTTACTTGCTTGGTTCTGTTCACAGGTCTTGCTGAATTAGCTCATAGAGAATATCAGACGGGAGATTATGAAAATGCTGAGAAACACTGCATGCAACTATGGAGGCAGGATCCTTCTAACACGGCTGTATTACTACTATTATCATCTATTCACTTTCAGTGTAGAAGACTAGACAAGTAAGTTTCAAGATTGATTAATAAATGTTTTTCATCCAACACATCAAAGTGATACATACTGCTTAATTTTTATTTGAGGTTAAATATGCATGGAGCTTTGAGAAAATGATCAATGATTATACTTTGACTAGATGTGAACCTTGCATAATTTCCCAGCATTATGTTGGGAAACATATCATGGTAAATAATATTGCTTGAATAAGTAAGCATTGTAATTGAATAAAGTAAAAAATATTGAATGGTTTTTACTCTGAATGTAAATGATATTTCGGTAAACATGAATAATGAATGTTGGTAAAGGTTGCAAAGAAATTAATTTTGTACCCTAACTTACGTGTCAAGTGTTTTGAATATTGAAAGGCCAGAAGAGGTTATGCACCATTACAATAACTAAATTAATAATGATTGAGGTCAGTTTAATTAAACCATTGATATCCTTAGAAAGAAATACTGTAGGTACTAATATCACTCGAGCAATATGCACATGTTATGCTTATATAGGATGAGGCTTGGTGTTAGTGCTTATGTGATTCACTACAATAATTGTAATTAATATAAACACACACTAATGTACATGTTTAGTTTTTTATCTGTACTGTTCTATTTTCAGATCTGCACACTTCTCAATGTTAGCAATTAAGCAAAACCCAATGTTAGCAGAGGCCTACAGTAACCTCGGAAATGTCTACAAAGAACGTGGTCAGTTGCAGGTGAGAAGTAGCTTTATATTCTATATAATATATATAATATACTGTCTACACAAATGCACACAAAAGTTACAAAAGTTGGAGTAAAAGGTAAGGTGCTCCGGTGGATAAGTGAGTATCTAAGCAATAGGAAACAGCGAGTTACTGTGAGAGGGGAGACATCAGAGTGGCGAGATGTCACGAGCGGAGTCTCGCAGGGCTCTGTACTTGGACCTATCCTGTTTCTAATATATGTAAACGATCTTGTATATTCAGAGGGTATACACTCATTCCTCTCGATGTTTGCTGATGATGCAAAAATTATGAAAAGAATAAAGACAGATAAAGATAAGAGACTACAGGACGACCTGGACAAACTGGAGGAATGGTCTAGAAAATGGCTGCTAAAGTTCAACTCGGGAAAGTATAAAGTAATGAAATTAGGTGAAGGGAGCTGAAGGCACACAAGATACCATCTGGGAGGTGAAATCCTGCAAGAGTTGGGGAGAGAGAGAGAGAGAGAGAGAGAGAGAGAGATGTGGGTTGATATCACACCAAACCTGTCCCCAGAAGCCCACATCAAAAAAATATCAGCGGCATATGCTAGATTGGCCAACATAAGAACTGCCTTTAGAAACTTGTCAAGAATCGTTCAGGACCTTGTATACCACTTATGTTAGACCAATCCTCATATATGCAGCTCCAGCCTGGAGTCCATACCCAGTTAAACACAAGACAAAGTTATAGAAATTCAAAGGTATGACACCAGACTCGTCTTGGAACTGAGAGGTATGAGCTACAAGGAAAGGCTAAGGGAGCTGAACCTCGCATCCCTGGAAAACAGAAGAGTAAGGGGAGACATAACCACCTACAAAATTCTCGGGGGGAATTGACAAGGTGGACAAAGACACTCTTTACAACGAGTGGAACACAAACAAGGGGGCACAGGTGGAAACTTGGTACCCAAATGAGCCACAGAGACATTAGAAAGAATTTTTTCAGTGTCAGAGTAGTTGACAAATGGAATGCATTAAGCAGTGATGTGGTGGAGGCAGACTCCATACACAGTTTCAAATGTAGATTTGATAAGAGCCCAGTATGCTCGGGAATCTGTACACCAGTTGATTGACAGTTGAGAGACGGGACCAAAGAGCCAAAGCGCAACCCCTGCAAGCACAACTAGGCGAGTACACACACACACAGCATATGTATATTAGTCAAATGTATGTGCCGGCCTCCTTGAGGTGGTGCATACTAATGGCAAAAAAAGAATGATGGTCTTGTGGGTGAAATATTGTAGACATGCATGTGTGTCCAGTACATGACATTGTGGTGTGCTCCCTGGAGTCGCATGGCTGGGAGGCCTAGTTGTCCCAGGCATTCATAGTGAGCAGTTGTCTTGTGCATCTCACTCTGGCACCTTGCCATGTTTTATTGCTATTAACAGGGGTGTTGGTAGTGTAGTTCTTGTGGCACATACCAAAGAATTAAGCAAAGAAATCATTGTTTTAAAGGAATTAGGCTGCCAGAGTAATGAAAATAAGGTAGGTGGTGGGTGTAGCCAATTAGACATGAGGAAGTATTGTGCACATTTCTGATAGGGAAACAGTGGTGACACGTAATCACAGAAACATCGGTCTGATCGTCTCAAGATGTCTTCAAGGTCTGTGAACTTTGTTTAGTTCATTAACCCTTAAATGGCACATAGCTATATACCATTTGACACCCACAGGCGCATATAAAAAAAAAAAAAATTTTTTTTTCTTCCTAACCTGTTAATTTGTGTTCACTGATCACAGGAAAAATAATAAAAAAATCGTAAGTGGCATATATTGCCCGCTATAGGGCGGGGAATTCTGGCAAAAATCGGGCGCTGACTGAGCGTGCGTCCCAGGTGGTCTGTTGATCGCCAGCTGTCAGGCCAGAGTTTCCACAAAGAGATAATTACCTAATTATTTCAATGTCTTTGATTGATTTTTCGTTGTATTTTTGCTGTAATATTATTCAATAGTGTGTAGTGTGATATATTTATATAATAAAATGAGTGAATCATCGCTGTACTCAAAAATATGGTGTGCATATTGTTGATTCAATTATGTACATCAAACGGTGAACAAATACTTTGTCGGTTATTACACTATATACACAGGTTATATATAAGTATCTGCATGTTTTGTTCACCATGACGAACCACTAAGTTGGTATGCTGAGTGGCAGTGGCAGGCAGTGACTGGCTGCCACTGGCTGCCACTCCCTCCCTCCCCCTCCCTCCCCTCACCTCACCTCACCTGACTTGCCACCATTCTCCACCCACCATACTGTTTTTGCTTTTATATACAGACGTTATATATAAGTATTTACATGTTTTGTTCACCATAACTGTACATCTAAGCTTGTATGGTGAGTAAAGGCATAAAGACGTAGCTACTCACACAGTCAGCTGGTGGCGGCCACTCTCAAGGCTAGACGCACTAATATTTCTCCTACAACAATACTGTTTGTGGTGTTATTACGCTATATACACACATTATATATAAATATCTACCTGTTTTATTCACCATACTTGTACAAGTAAACTGGTATGGTGCCCAAAGACCATCGTGGTCATCAGTAAACAACATGATAAGCCCTGCAGACAACGCTCCTCCCTCACCAAAATGGCGGCTCCCAACCTCCTACTCTCACTGTTATCTCACACTATACACACGTTATATATAAGTATCTACATTTGTGTTCACCATAGCGAACCACTAAGCTGGTATGGCGAGTGCAGTCAATAAAAGGTGGCCACACACACTCAAAAGACAACGCCACCATCCTCCCTCCCACAGCATTACTCCTCCCTCCATGGTGCACAGCGCCAAATATCACCACAATCCTGCTATTATCAGAGCCCTGGTCAGTTTTATCACAGTCAGGGGTCTTCTGTAATAATATCATCGCTACATAATAGCATGAACAAGTATATTATGGCATTTTTAGGCGATGCTGTGGTCACAAGCTGAACAGCAGTGCTGTTAGCTCATGCTGCGTGCATCAGGCTTGGTTGCTCACTCAATACTGAGGCCAATAACACCCGGGAGTTTGGTCCACGATTTTTTTAAAAAATGGCGTCTGTTTACAAGAGCCCTGATGAAGGTGTGGTGAACCCAGTGTATCTGTGGGCCGTTTAAATCTTGCGTAGTACTCCAAAGCATCACATGATGCGATGCGCAATTTACTGCAAGTCGGTCAAAGCATCATATGATGCGATGCGCAATTGAAGGGTTAAAGAAGTACCCTTCATGTTACACCAAAGTAGACCTTGATGAAGTCTTCCTTATATGACCAGACCATTGTTTCTCTGATGGTGTGTCACCACTGTTTCCCCCCTCAGAAACGCATACAATACTTAATCGTGTTAACTTGGATACACCCAGCAATTAACTTATTTTCCTTACTTTGGCAGCCTCATTCCTTGAAAGCAATGATCTGAACAATGTTTTTTCTTAGTTCATTGGTAGGTGCCATGAGAGCAATATAATACCACCGGCACCACTGTTCACTGCAATAAAACACAGCAAGGTGCCAGAGCAAGATTCGCAATAAAACTGTTCACTATGATCATTTGTTGACATTGTTGGGGAGTCCTTTTGACAGTTCTCATTTAAAGCAAAGTGTTTTTTTTCTTCTTTCTTTCTTTTTCTTCGTCGATCCGACGAAGTCGGATTGCGAAAGGGATCTGAGAGTTATGATTAGTAAGAATTTAAAACAAAAGGATCAATGCATGAATGTTCATAATAAGGCAAATAGGACACTGGGATTTATTAATCGAAGTGTTAGTAACAAGACACCTGGTGTGGTTCTTCAGCTATATCTAGCTCTGGTTAGGCCCCATTTAGATTATGCAGTTCAGTTTTGGCCGTCGTACTATAGAATGGATATAAATTCACTTGAACGTGTCCAGCGTAGGATGACTAAGCTAATTCCCCCAAATTAGAAATCTTTCATATGAAGAAAGATTAACAAAGCTTAACACTTTCGCGCTCTCGGCGTTCAAAAAAAAAGCATACCCTAGATGCTTTCGGCGCTTCGCGCGCCTACGCGGTAAGACCGAAAAAGTGTACACTCTTTTGACTGTCCTGATAATAATTCAAGGCGCACGTATTTAAATTTGGTATCACTGTGTTCGCAATAAAATTGTCTATAAGAACATATCTATAAAATGCCGCCAAACCATAAGGATTATCAACACCAAATAAAAAACTATTCAGATCACTAGCCGAGAGCGCCAAACAGCAACAAAATGTTTCCACTCTCTTAATATTCCTACAAAACCTACAGTTGTCCTACATCGCTAATTGTGGTATCATTGGAATCGCAATAAAATTCTCTACACGGACATATGCATATAAATATAGATTCAATGTCGTAGCCCACCCAAAACAGTGTGGGAAGTGGCCGAAGTGTTACCCGCGGCGGCATATCGGCGAAACTCGCTTTGAAAAGTGTATATTCAATTCACTGTCCTGACATTATTTGTCGATGTATGTATTTCAATTTTGTACCAATGTGCTTGCAATAGAATGTTCTATAAGAACATAAATATTAAAGTTCACATAAGGATGCGTTCGACCGGCAACATATATAAAAACTACGTCGATTACACTCGTCGTGTCAATAATAGAATTGTTTTACCATGATGATTCACTGCCACGCCGTTTTCTTTTATAAGCTGTTCGGCTATTAGAGAAAACGTAAATTTCATGGCAAACATTTGTAAACTATTCCCATGGATAATAAATGGATTTTATACAAATATTTTTGCTCGTGACTCCCGCGAGGGGCACGCGTGCGGTATGATTAATAATATTGGTGCCGACAACGGTCTGCTGGAAAGTGCCAAAGTGTTAAGTTGCATTCACTGGAAAGGCGAAGAGTTGGGGGTGACATGATGGATGAATGGACATAACAAAGGGGATATTAATAGGGTATTAAAAGTATCAACACAAGACAACACGAAACAATGGGTATAAATTGGATAAGTTTAGATTTGGGAAAGACTTGGGTAAATACTGGTTCAGTAACAGGGTTGTTGATTTGTGGAACCAATTACCACAGTAACGTGGTGGAGGTGGGGTCCCTCGATTGTTTCAAGCGCGGGTTGGACATGTATATGAGTGGGATTGAGTAGTTATATATAGGAGCTGCCTCGTATGGGCCAATAGGCCTTCTGCAGTTGCCTTTGTTCTTATGTTCTTTCTTTCTCTTTTTCTCTTTCGTTCCTTCTCTTTCTTGAGGTTATCTTGAGATGATTTTGGGGATTTAGTGTCCCCGTGGCCCGGTCCTCGACCAGGCCTCCACCCCCAGGAAGCAGCCCGTGACAGCTGACTAACACCCAGGTACCTATTTTACTGCTAGGTAACAGAGGCATAGGGTGAAAGAAACTCTGCCCATTGTTTCTCGCCCGGGATCGAACCCGGGACCACCCGATCACAAGTCCAGTGTGCTATCCGGTCGGCCGTTTTTTTTTTTCTTTCCTTCTCTTTCTTTTTCTTTCCTTTTTCTTTCCTTTTTCTTTCCTTCTTTCTTTCTTTCCTTCTTTTTTTTTCTTTTTCTTATTCTTTTCTTTCTCATTCTTTTTCTTTCTCTTTCTTTTTCTTTCTCTTTCTTTTTCTTTCTCTTTCTTTTTCTTTCTCTTTCTTTTTCTTTCTCTTTCTTTTTCTTTCTCTTTCTCTCTCTTTCTCTTTCTTTCTCTTTCTTTCTCTTTCTCTTTCTTTCTCTTTCTCTTTCTTTCTCTTTCTCTTTCTTTTTCTTTCTCTTTCTTTTTCTTTCTCTTTCTTTTTCTTTCTCTTTCTTTTTCTTTCTCTTTCTCTTTCTTTTTCTTTCTCTTTCTCTTTCTTTTTCTTTCTCTTTTTTTTTCTTTCTTTCTCTTTCTTTCTCTCTTTCTCTCTGAGTGATAGCAGACATGAATACAGTGGAATTTGTATCAAGATTGCCAGTACTCCGTATGCCTGTGTGAGGGGGCCTGGCTGTAGCTCATGGTTCCCCAGTAGGCCAGTAGAACTCTGATGGGACCTAGTAGTGTGGCAAACTGTCGGAGATAGCAGCTTCAGAGTGCCACTGGTGGTTACCTAGAAATTGGCATTTCATTACATTCAACACTGGTTTTTTAATGTGACCCATAAGAATGAATGCAATTCATTCTTACTTGAGCCCTTTAAGGTTATTGACACACTTAAATACTTGACCTCCCTCGGCCAGTGCCAGACACAAGATTTGCTGATGCAGTGGCGTGTGGCAGATAACTCAAGAATTGACCTTGAAAGTTTTTATGATCATTTCTTCACTGGTTAGTTTGTTCACTGTAGTATTTGTGGTGAATAACTAGATTTATGTAAATGTAATTACAAAAATATATGAGTATATTACTAACTCAAAGGATAATTTTTTATGCCTACAATAAATGTATGTATAAATAAGAACTAAAGAAACTGCAGGAAAGCCTACTGGCCCATGTGAGGCAGCTCCTATGAATATCAACCAAACACATTCACATAAGTGAAAGAGTTTAGGTAGATTTAAATAGCTGCCTCGTATGGGCAACAGGCCTGCTGCTGTTTCCTTGGTTCTTATGCTCTTATTGATTGATTCATTCATATATCCGTGCATTGATACATAATAATGAATGAAATACACAAATAAATAAATGCCTTGTATAGGCAAATAGGGCTTCTGGAGTATTTTAACAGTACTCTCCAATATGCCCCAATGTGGCGTAGAAAAACTCCAAAACCCCATCCAGGTATAATCCAGATGACTGGTTTACCTGGTATATTGACTGGTTCATTACAGCTGTATTAAAGTTGTGAAAACCGTATAAACATAATCAATATACATATCATGTAATTATAAGGGAAAATTATACCATGACTACGACAAATATTTTCAAAGGTAATTGCATATGCATTGTAAACAATTGTGAAATAATAGTAGTTTTTCATCTGTTAATGTAAACACTGCTACGTCCATTGGTATAAAAATCAAACAGTTGCTAAAATAAATGTGATAACTGCATTATACCATGAATCAACATAGTTTACAATTAGGTTAGAATCTAACACAGCTGCAGATTTACCACACTCGGATCTAACAGCTGTGGGTGTGGTAGTGGCGTGGTTGAAAAATCCTAACGGAAACTAACGTTCGTTAGTTCCACTGAACAATTTGCACCAATCGCAAACTGTTTGGACTATCTGGGAATTCTGTGGAGTGATGACCTATGTCCCGACTCCTGGAACTCAATATTTATAAAGAAATTTAAAGTAGGAGTAGCAACAAGTGCTCATTGTAGTATGGAGAAAAAGCTTGGATACAGGAGAGATATCAAAAGCTCTTAAATTAGCAAATCATTGAGTAAAATGTAGGATGATAGATATTCAGTTTCCTGTCAAGCAGAATGCAGAGTTAGTTGATCAAACAAAGTCGTGTCAGAGGCACAGTCCTTGCACCACTGCTTTTTCTTGTATCAGATACTAGTGGGGTTCCAGGCTGTGCTCGGGTCTCTCTGCCTTCCCCCTTCCCCTTCACCTACCTGTATGTGTAAATCAATGGATACTTAGTGTTAGGTATACATGTGTGTACACCTCAAAAATATTTATACATGAGACTTAAGTGTTTTCTTTTTCTTTCAGGAAGCCTTAGAAAACTATCGCCATGCAGTTAGACTCAAGCCCGATTTCATTGATGGATATATAAATTTGGCTGCTGCCCTTGTTGCTGCAAATGATATGGAGCAAGCTGTGCAGGCTTATGTTTCTGCTCTGCAGTATAACCCAGTATGTGAAATACTCTCTCATATTCTCATATATATATATATATATATATATATATATATATATATATATATATATATATATATATATATATATATATATAATATGTTGTACCTAGTAGCCATATTTACTCGTATTCGTATTCGGCCTACTATGCAAGGCCCGATTTGCCTAATAAGCCAAGTTTTGCTGAATTAATATATTTTCTCTAATTTTTTCTTATGAAATGATAAAGCTACCCATTTCATTATGTATGAGGTCAAATTTTTTTTATTGGAGTTAAAATTAACGTAGATATATGACCAAACCTAACCAACCCTACCTAACCTAACCTAACCTAACCTATCTTTATAGGTTAGGTTAGGTAAGGTAGCCGAAAAAGTTAGGTTAGGTAGGTTAGGTAGTAGAAAAACAATTAATTCATGAAAACTTGGCTTATTAGGCAAATCGGGCCTTGCATAGTAGGCTGAGAAGTGCGTTCTGGCTACTAGGTACGACATATATATATAATAAATATATATATTATTGGTGTCTATCTCGCTAGCTTGTAGATACATTTTTGCAGGTCTTCTGTTTCCCATTTAAATTCCTATGATATTTCTCCTGCTTAAAGGCCTTTGATTTTTTTCGGATATCTTTTGTCTCCTTCCCTGTATTATTTAATTTGTCAAGTTTTCATCTCAATCTCCTTGCCTCACTATTAGATTTTTTAATTTCCACTGTTCATGAGCTTCTCTTGATTTAGTTCCTGTATCCCCTATACTTTTATGCCCAATCCTGGTGTTAACTTACATTAGTATCAAACCAGGAACTCTGATGACATTAACACTTCTATATGCATCATGTTTAAACTATTGGTATGAATACTGTAGTTGTATATTTGCATTATGTTTAAACTTGGTATGAATACTGTAGTTTGTTTTATGCTTATCTTGTAAAATTTTAAACCAATTTCAGGATCTGTATTGTGTACGCAGTGATTTGGGTAACCTGTTGAAGGCACTAGGAAGATTGGACGAAGCAAAGGTATGTGGCTTTTCGTGGTATGAAGGCCAATTTCATGCCATGCCTTTTCTCTTCACCATATAAAATCTGCTGCAGCATTGTCCTCTTCCTTTCCTCCTAGCAATTTGAGGTCTAACATAAAATAAGGTTTAATTTAAATTTTCCTTTTCTTTATTTTCCATCCTTGCCTGATATTTAACACTGATGGTAGCTTTTCCTGGCCATTAAGAAGTACTTGTAGTAGCTGCCACGTATTCCTCTTTGCCACATAGTAATACAAATTTGATACTTGAATATTCTTTTAGATAATGGAAATTTGGAAGTCCATCAGAATATCAGCTGAAACGCTATACAGGAAGAGGGAATACCTTGTTGATCACTACCATTACGTAATTATTGAAGTCTCATCTTCCACTGTAATGCATGCATGAGTAGTCTTTTAACACAGTGAGTACCGTTACATGCAAAAACAATATCCTGGCCTACAAACCCTTTAGATTTTCCTTAATCTTCCCTTAACCTGTGGATGGGATCATTGTTAGTAACTCTGACTGTCATCAGGTGTTAACCTAGAGGAACTGCTCCCTTAAGTATTTTAATATAGATTAAGCTGTCACTGAAACTTCCCCAGGAATTGCTAGAGCAAGGTGTAATGGCCAAGTTGGTGATAACTGCGTAATGTATACCATGGAAGCCAGCATTTAGTATATTACTTGAAGGATGCCATTGTATCATTATATTAAATTATGAATTGTGCATTATGCAGCTTTCGTCTGTTCTAAATATGAAAGTAAATTTTTTGCACCATAGTAAATGCTGACTTTTAGCGCGCGCGTACCGGATTATATTCCGTGATGATGAGCCTTTCCTTTTTTTTGAAATCTAGTGGAGGGTAAGTTAAGGATCTGCGCTGTAGATCCATGTGACTCCACACTTGTATATTGAGCCAGGCTTGTGCTTCTGAACGCGAAGTCTTGCTCAATACTATTGCAGCGCTGCATGTATATTCAGGCCTCAAGGAACATCTTAAGCAAATTCAGAAATTGATTTTCAGAAATTACTTGAATTGAACATTATTTTTCATTTCATTGATTGTATGACTGAGTAATATAATTACTGTCATGCTTTTCCTAGAGGGCTGGAAGGTTGCGTCACATGTACTTACTTTCTAGCATTGCAGCTGTTTTCAAATGTCGCTTAGTTGGTTAGCACCTTGTTCATTTCCATGGGGGCAAGCTTCTTTGGCTTTTTATATAATCTTGACAGTGCTTCCAAACAGTGGCACATACGTTCCTCGAGGTTTTTGCTATTCCATATTTCCTCTCAGACTTTGTCAATAGTTTCCTTAAACAGTGAAATAGAGATGCAGATTGTATCTTGAGTTTCTGAACTGTGAAGAAAATGCACCTTGATGCTTGGGCTTTCGTTTAAGTACCATTGCACATCTGTTTTGGCAGTCGATGGAATTTTATTTGTGCTTTGTGTTTGGAGTGTTCATGTTATCATACTGCTTCTATCTAGACATACAGAGGAAGAAAGACCACTGCATGGAAGAAGACCATTAAAACCACACATAATTCAGAGAGGAATGAGCTTTATTACAAAAAGGTAAAGCCAGTTTTGCTGCAACTCCAGAAACCCCAGGCATCCTGGTACAGAACCGTGACAAGAGCTGTTACTGCAAGCCACACTAATCAGATTTGTTTTTACTTTTCTTCCCTTGGTCGTAATAGATGTTGAGGCTGTACAGCCCTACTCCTCTGCAGAGGTCGCCTTGAAGAAGCCTTCGTTATTCGTGGAGCACTTAAGATGTAGGTGGACCTGCCGTGAAGCGCCATATAAGGGTTTGTATTATGAGGGAAAGCTGAAGGAGCTCCTCAGGGGAAAGTTTAATATTAGGGGCACGCGTCCTATTCGGGTATGGTTATAATTTATCTGGAAAAAAGTCATTACTAAGCTTATGCCCTCATCAAGAAAAGCAGTTAGCCTCCAAAACAGATTTTTTCATGGGTTGTAAAAATATTTGGGTTATTGCAAGTTATGGGTAAATTTTTGTTGTTGATACTTGGGAAATTTAAGGGTTTCTAATAACTGTTGGAGGCTGACACATTTCATGAGTCAAGATGTTTCAGAAAACCAGGGCAGCGCTTGCGTAGGGTAGGGCGAAAGCGCGTGCACGCGATAGGGCGGACTTTTTCGTTGTCACTGCTTATGTGTGTGCACAGAATTCATAATACTGTAATGACTTTTGGCTTGATAAGCTGAATCTTGCATTTTGTCAGTGAGCTTCAAACCTCTCGGCACCCATCAGCTCTGGCGGAGAAGTCGAGTCGCAAGCGAGCGTTTAGGCTGCGGCGCACTAGGCGAGCGAGTAGGGCGGTTTTTTTCCTTTCTTGTGTAAACTCTGATCTTTATTTTTTCTTCTTCCCTTTCCTCAATTATCCAGGCATGTTACTTGAAGGCCATTGAGACAAGACCAGACTTTGCTGTGGCTTGGAGCAACCTTGGTTGCGTCTTCAATGCTCAGGGAGAAATTTGGTTGGCCATTCATCACTTTGAAAAAGCTGTTGCACTTGATCCCAATTTCCTTGATGCATACATCAATCTTGGCAATGTTTTGAAGGAGGCTCGAATTTTTGACAGGTACAGTGAATATTTTAATGTATTTAGATTTGCTTTTAGTTTCTAAAAAAAAATAACAAAGCATGAGTTTCCATATTAAATAGGAAACACTTAGCAGTTAGTGTTTTTATGTTTAATAAACAGTATATTGAAAAACATTTTTACTTTCTTTTATTTTTCTTTGCAAGCTTTTCTTTTGGATTAAAATTTATTGGTTCTTCTATGCAATCTTCTAAACTTTTGGTTTATAGGATTTACTTTCAAGTTCATAAATATTCTCCAAGTTATGTTTTGTAACTATTAATGAACTCGAATGATAAAAAAAACACTTAAGTTCCATTTAAGAAAGAGATTTGTTTGGTAAAAAAATTCTGGCATGTTTTCATTGTGATGTTAGGTGTGTATTCTTTAAAAAATCTGCAAGTACTGTACATTTGAAATGAACTTGTTGACATAAGTAATTCATTAAAAATAAAAAAGAACAAATCTGTTTGGATATTGGTCATGGCTATACATTATTGCTAAATTTCGGTAAACGGAGCGACTAGAGAATGGTACTAGCACTGACTGGTGTTAACATGCTCAAACATAATGACCCCCCCCCCCAATACTCATGATTGTAGCCATTTCCACTTTACCGTAATTATGTGTTCATTAGTGAAATAATAAAAGAACGTTCGTGCAAATTTTTAGACCAAAATAACTTGAAGTATATTTTTACTAACATTATTTTGTTGAATTAGTTTGTAATTTTGTTAGGTATTGTAATCCGGTCTAGTGGGAATTTCTCATTTGCCTAGACTCCATTTGTGGTCATTTTCATTGCGTCTGATCACTTACTGGATTAAAACCTTTCCATTTCATCAGATTTTCTGTCACAGCTTGTTTTGTATAGTAAGAAGTGTACATGTGTAAATGTTTTACTCAAGCATTGTATTTGATAGTGTGAGAATAAAAGTGAGATGCTTGGGAGCAAAAGAAGTAAGATGATACTGTAGTTAATAAAAGTGAGTGTATGCATATTTTGATACTTTCTTTTGTGATGGAAAAGGGTAAAGTACTATGTACTTACATATGAAAGTCATATATATTCCAAAATTATGGCTTATTAGAAATGTGGCTTTTTATTATTGGACTGGTTATTCTTATAGAAAATAAGGAATACTGTAGATATTTTTACAAGTTTACACATTAGAATGATGCATAAATAGGATTTCTTTGGTATCAAAAATATCATATAACATAAAAATTTTACTTTTTCTTTGGAATACCGCTTGCATTCTTGTAAACTGCCAGATTACAAAGAAGAGCGGTTGCTCTTCAAATCTGAGCAACTGACCATTTTTTCTAATTTTCTTTAACAGTGGAACATCTAAAATACAGTATTTACTAATTTTTTTCTTATCTTTATTTATTTTGATTGTTAAAAATTGAAATGCCTTCCCTTTCTCCCATCTAGTTAGCCAGATTTCTGTGTCACACATCTTTTCTACTTGTGGATAATAATATACATACAGTAATAGTTGGTAAAGTACAGTACTGTATGTTGGTTTAAGGGGCCGGGAAACTCAGTTTCTCAAACTTGCTCAAACGCTTTCCAATTTTTTGTACATTATCTACTTGGCAAATGCTCAACTTTGTCTAAATGATCTCCAACAAAACTTGAAAACAAGAAAATTAAAAATAATTATAAAATTGAATATTGAAAATTTCAGATTTTCAAATCGCTTCAAAAATATAAAATATAACCAATTGTTCATTTGTTATTATGCTTCATAGCGTATGATCTTCATTTGTATTGTGTATCATAGAGGTTTTCAGTATAGTTTATTGTAAAAAAAAATTGTCAATATGTCATTTGAAATATGCGCCAGACTCCATGCTGGGGCTGCATACTCCAGAATTGGTCTGACATAGGTGGTATACAAAGTTCTGAATGATTCCTTACACAATTTTCTGAATGCCATTCTTATGTTGGCCAGCCTGGCGTATGCCACTGATGCTATCCTCTTGATATGGGCTGCAGGGGACAGGTTTGGCGTGATATCAACCAACCAAACCCCCCACCCCCCCACCCCACCCCACCCCAAGTCTTTTTCTCTCTCTGACTCTTGAAGAATTTCATCTCCCAGATGATACCTTGTATCTGGCCTCCTGCTCCCTACACCTATCATCATTACATTACATTACATTTGCTTTGGTTAAACTCTTTAACACCATTTGTTCGACCATTCCTCCAGCTTGTCTAGGTCTTCTTGAAGCCTCAAGCAATCCTCCTGTCTTAATCCTTCTCATAATTTTGGCATCGTCGGCAAACATTGAGAGAAATGAATCTATACCCTCTGGGAGATGATTTACATATATCGGAAACAAGATAGGACTGAGTACAGAGCCCTGTGGGACTCCACTGGTGACTTCATGCCAATCTGAGGTCTCACCCCTCACTGTAACTCTCTGCTTCCTATTGCTTAGATACTCCCTTATTCACTGGAGCACTTTACCAGCTACACCTGCCTGTCTCTCCAGCTTATGTACCAGCCTCTTATGCGGTACTGTGTCAAAGGCTTTCTGACAATCCAAGAAACTGCAGTCCACTCTTTCTTGCTTAATCTTTGTCACCTGGTCGTAGAATTTTATTAAGCCAGTCAGGCAAGATTTACCCTCCCTGAACCCATGTTGGCAATTTGTCACAAAGTCCCTTCTCTCCAGAAGTGTTACTAGGTTTTTTCTCACGATCTTCTCCATCACCTTGCATGGTATACAAGTCAAAGACACTGGCCTGTAGTTCAGTGCCTCATGTCTGTCGCCCTTTTTGTTTAATGGGACCACATTCGCCGTCTTCCATATTTCTGGTGGGTAAACAAATGGCTAAACAAATGTGTGTGTGTAATATAATGTAATGTAATGTAATATTTAATGTACCTAATAGCCAGAACACACTACTCTGCCTAGTTTGCAAGGCCCCATTTGCATAATAGGCAGAATGAATTTTGTTACCTGTATTTAACAAAAAAAATCTAATTGGTTAATTTGAATTATTATTATAATTTTTTTTAAGAACTTGAATTAATGACTTAGTTATGTTAGTTTAGGTCAGGTTAAGACTGATTAGGTTTGGTCACTTATTCATTAATTTTAACTCAAATTAAGAAAAATTAATCATACATAAAGTAATGGAAAGATTTATCATTTCAAAAGATTTTTTTTTGTTTAGAAAAATACAGTATATAGCATAAGAAAATACTGTTTATTAGGCAAGTCAGGCCTTGCATAGTAGGCCAAGTAGTGCATTCTGGCTATTAGGTTGATATAAACATATACAGTATAAACAAATAAATAACCCCAGCAGGGTACAAATACAATTTGTTCCGTGCAGGGGTTAATTTCACTACACTATGCGCCTAGAAGGCCAGGTTTTGGACGGATAGTCTTCGGTTGACTTTCACGGACTGTAATGCAAATGTGACTCGTGTGGGGAGCTATCTCACTGCTGCTAATTACAGGGGGCCCACAGAGGCCCACCGAGAAAGAGGCATTTCATTGCATTCAATGCTGGGTTTTTAAGTAATGTGGTAGTTGCAGTGAGAAATTAATTGTGTATACAAGTTGTTTTATGTCAACAACAAATGGTTTAATAATCCCATTAAAATTTCATATGTAAAGTCAAATTCCCATATAACGATTAGCTTAAAGTGTAATTTATTTCTACATTCTAAAGGTTAACATGTCATAGGTCTGAGCTCACTCAGTTCTTAGCAAATAATCTAGTTAAAAATTGTGCTTTCTGAAGTTGGTCGTTAGGTCCCATTGGACGTGCAACTCGCCTATTTTGGCAGGTAGGTGGCATGCAAGTGGATGACATCAGTGGGCCGGGGGTTTCCTGGTGGGCATGTGATTCTGGTGTGTGGGGTTTTGTTGCTTGGCAGGATGTAGTATGCAAGGGCTTGTGATGTGGGACCCAGTGGGTCTTCATTGTGTGCTGCATAGTCACTGATGGATGTCACAGATGAACCAATTGTTGATGAATGCATCCTTTTTAATTATATAGTACTTTAATGAATGATGCTGCTAAAGTTTGAACACACTTTTATATTTTTTATTTTTAATGTATAAAGAAATTTTTCCCTTTTTTTTTTTAACTAATGCAGCATTAAATTTTGTTAATTAAATTTTTTTATATAAATTGTCGCTTGTATGACATTAAAAATTTGGAGCATTTTATGGATGAAGGAAACTTCTTAAATAAGAATTGGAACAAAATTTAAGTGTGTGTGTGTGTGTGTGTGTGTGTGTGTGTGTGTGTACATGCGCGCGTGTGGTGATATTTCTATCTCTGAACTTTACATTGCAAGCTCTGAAAACAAATAAAATAGTATTACTTAATTCAAAATAAATGCTTACCATGTAAAGTTCATTGTGGCAATTTGTCACACGCTAATTGGAAGTTTAAGGTGGAATAATACCATCCTCTGTTATCTCACTAGGTCTGACAAAGGAAAATGTAATGGATTGCAAGAGTTCATGCCACCTAATTGGAAGAAAAGACAATTGGAAAAATCTATGCAGATAATATAGAAGAATGTCCTAATTAATAGAACAATGATCGATCCTAAGTGGACACAGTGAGAGGGAATAAGAGGTTTAAATAGATATAAAATAGCAACCACTCAAATTTAATGAAATTGATAAAATAAGGAATGAGTGAAGTGATAGTGGAATGAGTGTGCATAAGAGATTAAGCTGATGAGATATGAGTAGTGTAGATAGAAGAATAATGAGGATAGTGAGGGGGGGGGGCAAGTGAAATGGGCCAACTTGGATCACTGGTAGCCAGTGAGCCAAGCCCCCCTTGTCTCCTTCCTTAGCTTATTATTTCTCCATCTTTTCTGCTTCTATTTTTTTCTTGAATTAAATGCTATTTATATTTTACCTGCTAACTTTATTTTTAATGTACATGAATTATTATTATTAACCTTTCAATATATATACAGTATATAAACATGTTATTAAATATGACCGAA